TTGTTCTCAGGGGTTGAGTCAAGCTGAACAGCAAACAATGCCACTTACACTTTGCCAAATCCACCCCCAACTTTAAAAAAAAATTAACGTTTCAGTATTCAGAGCTGTGAATTCTGCAATTTGCCAAAAGGCCTATTGTTAATATGGACAATAGTTTTTGGCCCAGTACTCAAGGTCTAGAGGTACTTCCCAAAACAAAGATAAATGAAGAAATAAAAGCAATAGAAAGAACTGTTTCCAGTAAAAAAAAAAATGATGGGTTTGTATAGGGGACCTCTCAGCTACTGAGGAGGCTAAACATTGACATTTTGGTCATTTCCATTCACACTGAATGGAATGATTACAATGATAGAAGTGAGCTTGTGCTTTGGGAATCCAGAGACATAAGAAAAAAGTATGGCAGATACTTTAGATCGTCACCTCCGGCGGGTCATCGTGGTTGAGTTGTTCAGCTATGCTAGAAAAATAAAGTTAGTGTAAGCCCTTTCCCGAAGGAACTCCCCCTGACCAACCCTTCATCCTGGATACAGGATGTCCCAAATCCTTGGTACTAGCACGTGAATATTCTTTCTGGTAATCCTTCCTAGTAATAATGGTAGTCTGATATTTCTAAAATACACATCTGATCATGTCACCCCCTTCTGCAAACCGCAACCCACCAGCGCCGCCCTGTGGTTCCTGCTTTCAGAATAAAACTCTTAACTCTCAGCAAGGCAGGCAAGGCCCTTCATCATCCAGCTACCCTCCCAGCCAGTCTTACCACCTGTGCCCTCACACATGCCAGCCTTTCTTTTTCTTTTGAATTTTTTTATTGCGGTAAGATATACACAACATAAAATACTTGGCATGCTCTTAGGTACACACCCAGAAGAACTGAAAGCAGGGACTCCAACAGATACTTGGGCGCCAGTATTCACAGCAGTCTTCTTCACGCTGCCGAAAACTAGAAACAACCCAAATTTCCAACAACAGAGAATGGACATAAAAAAAGTATGACTTTAACCATTTTTAAGTGCACAATTCAGTGGCATTAAATACTTTCATAGTGTTGTGCAACCATCACCACTATGTATTTCCAAAACATTTTCGTCATCACAAAGAGAAACTCTGAACCCATGAAGCAATAACTACCCGTTCCATTCCCTTCTCTCCCCAGCCCCTGGCAACCTCTAATATGCTTCCTATCTCTATGAATTTGCCTGTTCTAGGTATTTCATATAATTGGAACTATACAATGCTTGTCCTTTTGTGTCTGGCTTATTTCACTTAACATAACGTTTTCAAGATTTGTCTGTGCTGTAGCATGTATTAGAACTTCTTTTTTGTGGGTGAATAATATTCCAAAGTGTGTATATACCACATTTTCAGTTCCAGCTATGAAGTCCTTCCTGACCACCCCAGTTTCTCATGATCCTTCCTCTGTGCTCCCTGGCACTTGTCACATCGAGTCAATTACCACCTAGGACTGCAAGCTTTTGTTCACTTTTCTCCATCACACTTTTTGATAGTATGATGACAGAAACAGCTCACCATTCCACTGTGTCACGAATTGCCCTCCGTCTGGGGAACTGGGAGGGGGTAAAGTTACAACCCTCATCAGTCCTGTGTGTTACCTACAGAAACTGAGGGCTGGTCTGGGAGGGAGTCTGAAGTGCAGCCTTACACTGAGGTCGAGGCCAGACCCAGAATAGGACAAAGCTGCTTGCTCTGGGCCTTTGAGATCTTCGCAGAACCGCAGGAATTCACACAGGTCTAGACTACCCAGGGAGGGTATGAATAAAACCCCTATTTACAAAGCACCAGTGTGCTAAAGAAAACAAGAGTCCCGATGCCACTGCTGTGTGGCTCTGAACCTCAGTTTCTTTATCCATAAAAGGGTGCATGAGAGAATTAGGGAAAATAAAGTATGTAATAGCACTTTTTAAGCTGCAAGAATCTGAAACTTTAATCGTTGTTATTATGTGCTCCACCTTGGTGAGCTCTTTGAGGGTGTGGATCCGTGGCTCCAAGTTTCCCCAAGTTCTCAAGAGAAAGTAAAAGTAAAGTGGCGGGGACCAATCCTGTGAAGCTCGCCCCTTCCGCTAGACGGAGTTGAGTCAGTTTGCTTGCGCACCTGCTGAAACCTGGGGACCAATGCCGCACCTTCTCTGGGGCGCAAGCCATCGCAGGAGGGCAGATCGGGACCCTGGGTCTGCTGTTGGGAAGTGACGGCCCCCTTTCCTCTTCTTCCTTGCCGCTCCCCCGACCCCCGCCAGCTCCCACTTTCTTTGTAAGGGAAGGACTCCGCAGGCCTCTCCCGCTCCCGGGCTCAGCCCTACCTGTCCCGCAGGTGACCGCTGCGCAGCCCCAGGGCCGTGCACTCCGCCGCCTTCACCGACACCCCCTTGCAGGACTTGACGGGGTAGATCCAGAGCTCTGTCACGGTGCCCACCTGCTGCAGCCGCCGGCGCCGCCTGGGCCGCGCGCGGCGCCAGGCCACGGCCCCCAGCGCCACCGCGGCCAGTCCCAGCGCGGCGACCCCGAGGCAGCGGGGCCGGGGCTGCGGCGCGGAGAGGCCCAGGCGGGCCAGCGCGGAAGAGCCGGCGGCGCCCATGACCCAGCGATCGCGGGCGCGCCGGGGACTCCAGCGGGGCCCACCCGAGACGCCAAGCAAGCCAGGCAGGAGCGCGGCCGCCGCCGAGGGCTGCTGGCGGAGGTGGCGCCCTTAACCGGGAGCCCAAGGGGAGGGCGGTTCCTGAGTCTCTTTCCGGCCGGAGTACCGTGTCCTGCTCCTGACGTTGGCCCTCGGGCCGCTGCGGGCGGGAGGTGGTGCCTCGGCTGCTACGCGGTCTACTGCCCACCGCCGCCTCCACTTCCGCCGCCTGCTGGCCACTCGGCGACGTGCCCTCCCCCAGGATCGCTACAAGTGACCAGTTTACTTATTTACGTATTTGTGGCATTGACTTAAAAAAATGCACAAGGTGAAAGTTGCAAGTTAAGTTTTATTTGGAGCAAAATGAGGACCGCAGCCTGGGAGACAGAGGTTCAGATAACTCTGGAAACTGCTCAGAGGAGGCGAGCTGGCAGCCAAGGATACATAGAGAGTTTGGCAACAAAGGGCAGGTAGTGTGGAACGTCATAAGATTATTGTTAATTAAAGAAAACCAGTTATCTCAAGTTAAGGAATTTACCCCTTTTCTATGTATGGGCAGATGCAGGAGACCGGGCTCACTGAAATCATTCCTTCGATATACACTTCAGCTATCTGGGCCAGGATCCTGTATTTTTACATCCTGAGTTTCCTAGGGCTCACGGCAGGGAGTGACTGCAGTCTGATGGCTGCTAGATGGCAGGGATCCTCTTCAGCCCTGAGTTTCCTCAGGGCTCACAGGTTCACGTTGGAGAGTTGCAATTGTTGATGACTGTGACATCCTTTGTTTATTGATATGGCAGGAAATATGCCATTTATAAATATTCCATACCTTTTATAAATATTCCATTTATCAGTGGGTTGTTTATTTAACCTAAAATAAACAAAAAAAATTCGCAGGGCAAAACATAATTTTGAAATTAGAAATCAGGCAGCGGGCAGATCCCTCTCCTGGAGATAGGAGCGGGCGGGCACCACGTGGCCTTCCCAGTGTCCAGCTGCCTTCGAAAACCCTAAAGATTCCACACAGAAAAAAAAAAACAAAACTGTTATAATTAATAAATGAATTCAGTTAAGTTGCAGGTCACGAACTCAATATACAAAAATCAGTTGCATATCTATACACTAACAATGAACTATTAGAGAAATTAAGAAAACAAGCCTATTTATAACTTACCAAAAAGAGTAAAATACCTAGGAGTTAATTTAACCAAAGAGGTGAAAGATTTGTACTTTGAAAACTAAAACACGTTGAAGAAGACACAAATAAATGGAAAGATGGTCTGTGCTCATGGATCGGAAATATGGACTGGAAGAATTAATATTGTTAAAATAACCACACTACCTAAAGCCATCTGCAGATTCAATGGAATCCCTAACAAAATTCCAATGGCATTTTTCACAGAAATAGAAAAAACAATCCTAAAATTTGCATGGAGCCACAATAGACCCCGAAGAACCAAAGCAATCTTGAGAAAGAAGAACAAAGCTGGACACATCACACTTCCTGATTTCAAACTATATTACAAAGCTATAGTAATTAATATATACAGAGCTGGCATAAAAACAGACACATAGATCAATGGAATTGCTCAACTGAGAGCCCAGAAATAAACTCACACATATCTGGTCAATTAATTTCAACAAAGGAGCCAAGCATAAACAATGTGGAATGGATAGGATAGTCTTTTCAATAAATTGTGTTAGGAAAAGTATGAAACTGAAACTTCCCTTCCCACCCTATCTTACACCATACACAAAAATCAATTCAAAATAGATTAAAGACTTGAGTAAAACCTGAAACCATAAAACTCCTAGAAGAAAACATGGGCAGTAAGCTCCTTGACAATGATTTTTAGATTTAACACCAAAAGCAAGGGCAACAAAAGCAAAATTACATAAGTGGGATTACATCAAACTAAAAAGCTTCTGTGCAGCAAAGAAAACCATTAACTAAATGAAAAGGCAACCTATATAATGAGGGAAAATATTTTCAAATCATATATCTGATGAGGGGTTAATATTCAAAATATATAAAGAACACATACAACTCAACAGCAAAAAGAAAAAAGCCAATTTTTAAAATGGGCAGAGGAACTAAATAGACATTTCTTCAAAGAAGACATACATGCAGATGGCCAACAGGTACATGGAAAGGGGCTCAACATCACTAATCATCAGGGAAATGCAAATCAAACCACAATGAGATATCACTTACACCTGTTAAAGTGGCTATGATTGTAAAAGCAAGAGATAAGTTTTGGGGAGAAAGTGAAGGAAAGGGAACCCTTGTGCACTGTCGGTGAGAACATAAATTGGTGCAGCCACTTTGAGAAAAAATATGGAGGTTCCTAAAAATTTTTTTAAATAGGACTACCAAATGATCCAGCAATTCCGCTCTGGGTATACATCTGAAAGAAACAAAATCACTATCGTGAAAAGACATCTACACTCCCAGGTTCACTGCAGCATTATTTACTATCACTAAGACATGTAAACAACCTAAGTATCCATAGACTGATGAATGGAGAAAGAAGTTGTGGTGTATATATATATACAATGGGATATTATTCAAGCATAACAAAAAAAGGAAATCCTGCCATTTGTGACAATATGGATGGACTTCGAGTGCATTATACTAAGTGAAATATGTCAGACAGAGAAAGACAAATACAGTATGATTTCACTTATAATTGGAATCTAAAAAACCAAGCTCATAGATACAGAGAACAGATTGGTGGTTGCCAGACATAGGGGTGGGATGTGCAAAATGGGTGAAGGTGGTCAATAAGTACAAACTTCCAGTTATAAGAAAAATAAGTCCTGGGGATGTAATGTATAGCATGATGATCATACATATCAATACTGTATTGTATATTTAAAAATTGCTAAGATATTAGATCTTAAAAGTTCTCATCACAAGAAAAAATACTGTAACTATATGAGGTGATGGATGTTCACTAAACTTATTCTGATTTCATTTATACACACATATCATTTCATTTATATATACAAATATCATTTCATTTATATGTACACATATCAAATCACTACGTTGTGCACCTTAAACTAATACAATGTTATATGTCAATTAGAAAAAGAAAACTATTTTAACAGAGGTCATTACAGTAGGGCTCAACTGTGAATACAGCAAAGACATCTGGGGATCTATAGCCAAGGAGCACAGGGAGGGAGTGAGTGGCTGAAAAATTACTAAGCGGAGACATCAAAGGTAGGGATTCTCTCAAAAACTGGGCTTAGCAGGATTCTTGTTAAAACTGAGCTAGGCAGGTCTGACAAGGCTATAGCCAAGGTGGAGGCCCAGTCGAGAAGAGGGCTCAGAGGAGCTTGAGTAAGGTTTGGCCAAGGAGAGAGTTGCTCTCAGGCTCAGCTCAGCACACGGGCCAGGATGGTACAAGACTTCATCAAAATCATCCATGCAGATAGAGGGTGTCTTACATCACAGAAGGGTCAGTTTCCAAAGGACAGTAAATCCTCTTTCCCCAGATGGCAACACACCTCAGGGCCTTTCAGTGCTGAGCAAAGATCTGTCCTTGGACATCGTTCCCCACCATAAATATTTAGGCCTAAACAGAGTATATCTGTCCTACCTTTTCTCCTCCCGCCCCAGGTATGCCCTCCCTCCCCACTCCTGTGAAATCCAGGAACTGAGTTCAGAGTACAGAGGTCAGTGCTGCTTCAGCCTTTAGGGCTCTTCAGTGATCTGGCCTCTTCCAGGAATGAGCTGGAGGAAGAAGGGGCTTGCATGAATCTAGTTTCCCCAGAAGAAAGGTTGACTGGTGGTGATGTGCACCATGGTGGGGGCGGGCAGAGGGAAAGCAGTGGCGGGGCGGCGGGTTGCGGGGAACAGAGTGAACAGCAACACAGCACAGAACAGCCAGGACTTGAGCTCCACGTGCTCCACAGAAAGGGCAGCTCAGGGGCACTAAATTTTGTTTACTTCTGTTTACTCCCCTCCCTAATTTCTCTTCGGAAATTTAACAGGATAAAAGTTGCTTCTCTACTTTAACAGTTGACTTTAAAGTGAGCATGATTTTTCAATTTCATCATTTCCAAACTTCACCCAGGGATATAGCTAAGTGAACACTTTTACCTCACAGGGTACTGGGAGTGGAAGTGAATTTCAGGCCCAGAACCCAGCAAAGGAGAGTGGAGAAGGAAGGAACAGCTGCTCTTCACAGGGCACCAGGCAGTCCCCGGGCAGTCACTGGCCATCACGCCTCAGACGGGCTATCTGTGTAGCTTATGATGGCCCTACCCCACCAATGACAGGAGCCGGACTGCATCTCTGCTAGTCTATCAGAAAGGGTAAAGAACAACGAATGACAGTGACTGAAGCTTTAATACAAAATGAGAAAAGCCCTGGAAGCAGACTCAGAAATACCAAAGAAAAAGTACAATTGAGAATCACATTTATTAATATGAAAGAAACCACAAAATTGTAAGTGAGTTCATTCATTCTCATATTACATCAGTGAGAATTCTTGCGCTAGTCATACCAAAATAGTTCAAAAATCACTGGCATCTGAAAGAATAGGTTCGTGATTCCATCCTCCTACTCTCAAAATTCCATTCTCTTTCAAATCCCATTCTCTTCTTTATCGTACTTGGAATTCGTACTTGGTGTATCTGTCAGTTACAATTACTTTTACCTGGCTTAATAGAGGCATAATCAAACATAGAAGCAAAGTCTACAGAATAATTTCCATTCTCAAATAAAACCCGATTCCATAATGGTGGGGTCAAAACCACACAAGCAGAAAGTCAACAGGACTCAATAGCGATGTAAAAACCAACCAATAAGAATCTGTGTGTTAACATGTCACTAACAGGAATTTGTATGTTAACATGTAAAGGCATATCAGGAAACCTGTTGTTTCCCATGTCTCCTAAAACACAGAACGATAGGTAATAAAATATAAACACTCAAAAACATTGTGTAG